TTTTTTTTTTTTCCCTCTGATGTTGCTTCTCACATGACGAATGCATTTAGCATCTTCCGGATGATGCCATCAAGAACCTTCGTCGCGCCTATTATGCCTCCGTATCGCACCTTGATGAGCAAGTATGTTTGGGCGCGGGCAAACCACAAGAAGCGGCATTGACCCATCAAGCGCTCATCGTAGCGTGTGACCTGGGCAGATGGGCCGTGTCATTACAGCGCTCTCGGATCTGGGGCTAGCCGATGACACCGTCATCAGCTTTTGGGGCGACCACGGCTGGCAGCTCGGCGATGCGGGCATGTATTGCAAGCACACCAACTTTGAGCCCGCCACCCGAGCACCCATGCTCGTGCACGCCCCAGGTAACCAGCTTTGTTCACGTCTGGAAACATGCTCGTCTGCCAGTGTTTACTTGTGTCGTTGCCGCACTCATGCTGAATGTCGGCCGACACCAACGCTTGCTTGCTTGCTTGCTAGGTCTGACCGACAACGGCATCATGTCTACTCATTACACTGAGCACATCGATTGTGAGTCGCTCGCGGAGGCTTGTGTCGCTCGCTTGGAGGCTGGTGCTTGCTTACGGATGGACAATTTGCTGATGTTGCCTCTTTCCGGTTTTGAAAACGCTCGGCGATACGTGACTTCAAGTGCTACCCACGTTGGCGGAACTCGCGCTGAATGAGACCATTCCTGCATGCCCTCGCAGCCCATCCAGCATGTATGCTATTCGAAACCATTTGTGTTTGTGTAGTTTCCTGGTATTGGCACGGCTAAGAAAACATTCCTGCTCTTTTTTTCTTGACCCGCTCATGCACCATACGCTATCATACTCGTTGACGCGGCCTTTTGAACTGCTCGTGCCAAAGGAACACGACCCTGTGCACTATGGGGCTGAGCATGGTGCCGCTTATGCTGAATCCTTCACAACCGGTCCGGCTCCATGTTCACATCAGCATCCGTCTGCATCGCCCATGGTCACACAAATTTTGTCTTTGCAGCCTGATCAAACGGCCCCGGTTCATTCGCTCTATTCTTGGCGTAGACGCGAACGGCGGCATTTAGTCAGTATCCACGAGGCGCCCCACCTTCTGAAGCCAACGAATGGGCTGAGTTGGACAGCACGCCGACTGCCAGCATTTGTCTCTCGCGCGCATGCGTCATGGGCTACACGGTGGTGACTCATGTCGAGGGTAGCGAGTATCGCTACACCGAGTGGGTTGAGGTGAGTGATACGTGCATGCCATGCCTATGCTTCGAGACCAGCCTAACCCGAAGCCTTCCACGGCCTTGTCTTTTCTTAGTTTAACAACGAGGACAACCCGAAGCGCATGGACTGGTCTCGTAACTTTGGGACCGAATTGTACAACATGACGGCATTGGGTGCAGAGCCCAACGTCAACATTGCGGGCTACAACTCAAGTGCCGCTGTTGTAGGGGTTCTGCAGCCTCTCTTGCATAGAGGACCTGAGCCCTCGGGCTGGAACCCTTGGCAAGACGAGTAGCAGCGTATCAAGAGTTGGAGAGCATGATACGACGCGCTCACTCTTTGTGGAGTAGGCGGGGTTTGTGTGTGCGTGCTATTTGAATGTATTTGAATGTAAAATGGTGGCGCATGAAAAAAAGTGTGGCAACGGGAAAAAAGACGCATGACGAAATATGTCAATTAGACGGCACACGCAGCCTTGCTGCCATGCTGCCTTGCTAAGCAGGGGTGGTCGATGAGGCCGGGTAGGGCAGGTACAGAGAGAGGATTGATAGATGAAAAGGAGCAGCAGAGCAGCGACAAAGGTACGGAGGGCCAAGAACGACAGCACAGGAATCAAGGCATCAAAAGGAGCAACATAGCAAGCAATGGGGATGGCAGGAGCAAAAGCCAGGCGCAGCTGGTTCTGAAAAAAAGGGAATATTCTTTTGCTCCTCACCAGCCTCTCTTTCCAAACTCGCGCCCCCGAACGCGCGCCAATCCAATGGCACAGCACGGCACGAAGGGACGAGACTTTGAGTATTGTTTTGCTGCATGGATCAGCGGAGAACCGAACCAAACAGAGACACGACACGGGAAAATCAGAGGCTTCACGAGTCTTGGGTATCATCAGCACCCCCCTCGTCAGCGGCCAACTCCTCATCCGGTGGTGCGCTGCTGGTGTGTGCCGCTGAAACCTGAGCATCGGCCGCAGCAGCCGCGGCAGGCCCGGCAGGGGCCTCAGCTGGACCGCCACGTCCACCCTTGGAGGCGACGGGGAGGTAGAGCTTGAACTCGGCCGGGAGCTCCTTCTCAGAGTAGAGGCGATCAGAGAAATACACGCGACGAATGCGGCAGTTGGCGTGGATCTGGACCCGAAGGGTCTCAATGTAGTTGGTACCGTAGGCACGACGGGTAAAGTCGCTAAGGTTGAACTGAATCTGATTCCAGCCCTCATCGAGGCGCATGGGCATGGTGCAAATGAAGGGCTTGACGCGCGTCGTGGACTGGTAGTTGGAGGCGCGGAAGCGACGGCGCACGTTCTTGTCGTCAAGGACTTGAACTTCAAAAGTGAAGTACTTTTTGAGGTTCTTGATGATCATGACAAGGAAGGGCAGCTTGATGCCCAGAGTCTTCTTCTCGTCAGCAGGGCAGGTGATGTAGGTTGTTGAAACGTTGGTGCCCACAATCTCAATCACGAGTGATTGAATGTCATTATCCGTGATGCGCTTGATGTGTCCATTGCGGACCTGCCAGGCAAGAACAGGCAAGGAAAGAGAACGGCCACCAGTTGTCATAAGCACGACACACCGAAATGCAAAAAAGAAAAAAAAAAAAAAAAAATACATCATAGGGAGAGGGGAGAAAGAGAGAAAGAGAGGGAGAGAGAGGACAAGGAGGAGGAGGAAGAGAAGATGCTCTCCGTCCATCAGACAGAAACGCCGAGTCACACGCAGCCCATGCGTCAAAGCAAGAAAAGGACACGAATGACAAGGCAGCCGCGTGATTGGATGGACAAACCTTCTTATCCCAGATTTGCAGCGGCTTGCTGCCAATGCTGTAGAGGATGGAGAGGAACCCCGACTGGAACGCGTTTTTGAACATGGCGCTGGTTGGGGATGTGAGTTGTTGCACTTGAGGCTGGCAGAGCTGCAAGGCGACTACGACTGCTGGTCTGAACGGGGACCAAAAGCTGGTTCGTCGCAAGAATCAGAGCAGTCGGGCTGGACGGCCGCTTCCTGCTGTCGTGCTATCCCAAAAAGGTTGCTTGGTCCTAGAATTGAAGACCCCGCGCTTTGCAGAAAGGGCAGAATTGCAAAGAAGGGATGCGTCGCAGTAAAGGCAGACTGCGAGGCCTAGAGAAGACGCGCGAACGGTGCGCACAGATATATTTCAGAGAGGATCGCACAGCGATGAGCACCGGAAACGGGCTGGACGAGGCAGCGTAGCGGGTGGAGCAAAGTGAAGGAAATGCCAGCCCACAAGAGGTCTTCATTCCCACTCACGCACACAATCCACCAAACAGAGATCAAAGCGGGGGGAGCGAGCAAGGGGACCGATACCCCCGACGGACCGACGACGGACGGACGGACCGACTGACAGACCGAGAGAGAGAGAGAGAGAGATGGAAACTGAGCGTTTGGGCGGTTGCGATGCGCGGTTGTCAAGTTAGTTGCGGTCACAATGGTTACTAAGGAAAAAATAACTCAATTTTGATACAAAATTTCCATATCTTGAACCTGACACGACGAGTCAGACTAACGTTGATAGACAACTTTATGCGGTGTTAAAGCTGGAAGCGCCGTGGGGCCTGACTGCCTGGCGCGAGCAGGGATGAAGGGCAAAGTCGGGGTGCCATTGGCCGTTGGACGACCTCGCTTTGTCCTAGTTGTGCTCATCAGTTGATTCGGCCTTGCCATCTTCAGGCTCTTTTGGCTCTTCTGGTTCTTGTGGTTCTTCAGACTTTTCAGCGCCTTCTTCGGGAGCCGCAGCGGCTTCAGTGGCCGACGCAGCCTTTGGCTGTGTTTCCTGTGCTTCGCCTTGGGCAGGCTCGGTTGCCGGGCCAGCACTTGTGGGCTGGGATGAGGTTGAATCCTGATTCGCATTCGTGGCAGCATTCGCGTCAATGGGTTCCGCCGAATAGGCGGAGATGGCCGCAGCCTCAGGGACCTGGGCCAAGGCTCGCTTCGCCATGTCGGGAAGCTGAGCCTCGACTTGTTGTTGCTGCTGAAGAGCCGTGTCTCGGCGAACCACCAGAGAGGCCTCGGCCTTGTTTGCCAGCTTGTTCATGCGTTCCACGCGTTGCTGAAAAGCCATGACATGGGTTATGATTGTGAGCCCAATGCCGGCAGCAGCCTCAAGTGTAGGCCTCCAAGCAGGCGCACGCCATCCTGCACCCGTACCTCAATCGTGCTCACAAGACCGTTGAGCTTGGCCAAGTTGACCTTGGTTGTGCCAAGCTTTTGAGCGTAGACGTTCAAGTCTGGTACCGCTGACTGAATGTCCTCGTAGCGAGCCAGCTCTGGTCCAAGGGTGGAGATAAAAGCAGGCAAACAGGAGTACGCCGAGTGAGGTGGCAAGCTTCAAAGGTCACATGGCCCGCATAACAGCACCCTGGCCCTATCATTCCGGCCAGCAAGGCGCACAGCACGGCATTCATACAAAACGCAAACGACGGTCGCAGTCACGCACCAGTTTGGAGCTGATCGAGCTGTGCTGCCAGCTGCCGTTGTGACTGTTGCGTATCACGAACGCTGTCATCCATGGATTTCAACAAAGGAGCAAGCAACTGCAGGATGCTGTCGGAAAGCAAGTTGCTCAATTGTCGCTCGCTCTCCACCGCATCCACCGGTGAATGGGGCGAGTCTGGCGCAGCCATCTTGTGATCAGGCAACGTGCCCAGCAGCCCCTCCACTCGTTTTCAGCCTTGAGAGTCAGGCAACGCCTGACCACACACCTCTCTAAATAAGGCAGCCCAAACTCAACGTGCCCGCCCCAGATTCTTCTCCGGTGTCTGCCGTAGACGTCCCCGCGTCGCGCCGCCTCTGCCACTGGAAGTTCAGACACACACACGCAAACTTGGAGCGATCGTTGCAAGAAAAAAGTATTTCATGCACTTGATTCAGTAGTCTAAATAAGGCTAAAACCATAGAATACGATGTATTTTACTTTTATTTGACTCTAAAGTGTAAAGTGTGCCACACTTCCACTTTGCGAAAAAGTATTTCATGCCCTTGATTCAATAGTCTAACCGATGCTAAACCATAGAATATGATGTATTTTACTTTTATGTGGTTGAAAAGTATAACGTGTGTCACACTTCCGCTTAGCGCCTTTTTTTGGGCCGTTTTTCGGGCACGCGGGCGCGCGCGCGATGGCGGAGGAGGCGCCGACAACACCGGGAACGGACCTGGCGCTGACGGCGCGGTTGGGAGGTCATGGCGGGGATGAGGGGTTGGAGGTGAGGTGTGGTAGTCCTGAGCCTGCCACGCCGCGAAAATCAGCCATGGCGCGGGCGACCATCCCGCCTCGGCCCACGGCACGTCCCCGGCTCCCGTCAGCTGCGTTGGTCGGCACTCGTGTGGGGATTGGGGTGCAGTCTGAGAACTACACCCCGTGGCCTGCGGCACGCAGGTTGGAGCACCTTTTTGCTGAATTCTGCATTTCGGATGGCAATCCTTTTCCCGCCGTCCTGCCTCTCTTGCGCTTTCATTTCGCCTCACGCGCCTCGGTCGCATCCCTATCGCTACCAGCTTGGCGCCATCCGTTGGCATTACAGGCGGCCTCTTGCCTGCCCACACACCTGGCAGATCTGGCAGGTCTGATGGCTCATACGTGTCACCACGGGCTTCATGTATGTTTTACCGTCGCTGCTCGTCCCGGACAATCTCTTGTTCATGCGCTGTTGTGCTTCTAATGACTCGGCGGCCCTTTGAGCGGTGTTGCCTCATTATTTCTCTCATTGACTGCCGGCCATGCAGCCGCCAGTGAGCTTACCATGGTCTTTCCTCCAACTCCAATCTATCCGCATGTCGGAGCCGATCGTATGTGCCTTCGCGCGGCCAAGCTCGCCTGGCTCGATGTGCTCCTGTAGTGCGCTATCTCACATGGCGCCTGCCTGCTCCTCCACAGACTATCGACGCATTCACGACATTGTGGCCTTTCGGCTGCAACCCTTGCGTTATAGTGCTTGCCGTCAACAAGCCAAGGTGAATGCTTCAATGTCCTTGACCTCATCTGAATCTTTTCGGCTTTATTTTCCCTATTCTTCACCTAAAGCTCGACTCATCGACCTTCCTCTCGCATGACGCACTCTGCTGGAAATAATTTGCTGGCTTCCTCTTTTACAGCGCTTTCTCGGTGCCCACCGAGCCCTTGGCCTTGACCTCGACTTACTCGTTGATCATCTCTATGAAGCATCCGGACCACCCGCCTCGCCGCTGGTGCGTCCCTCGGCCGGCCGCCGATGAAACTCTAGGGTTCTTTCTTTTCAAAACCACCACAACTGAGGGCCAACGTCTGATCGCTTTTACATTTTTCTTCGCAGCTCGAACCAGCAGCCATGACCATTGTGCCCACCGACCGCACCGACGTGCAACTACTAGTTCATGCCCGCGATGCCTGGGATCACCAGCTTAGTGTCACTCCTGTTCAGGTCCGCCAAACTGTCCTTGTCTTGACTTGACATTGTACAACGCTTGTGCACAGGGTGCATGGGATGAAAATACACGGTGAGCTGACTTGCTTCATACCTGCTGCTCATCGGTTACAGCGACGTCCGGGAGATGGCAGCTGGTACACGCATACGCCCATGTTGGCAAGGAATCAACAGCGCTACCACCACGGTCGCCAAATCGATTCAATCACGACGGCCACAGCTTCTACAGGCACAGCCGTAACCGTCGTACGCGGCTGTCGCTGTCAAGTATACACAACGTACGCAATCATACCTTTTTGAGGGTTTATTTTACGTTTGACATCAAGCTGCGCTTCAAGTATTGCTCTTCACAAGACTCACCCCCTTTTTTTTCCTTTTTCAACGACTATAGAAATCAAGATGCAACGTTCGAGCGCGAAGACGTGACGGTACATTCTGCGTTGACGCCGTTCACATCCAGCTCGGCGCTGTTATTCCTCCTCACCCCTCCCTCCTGTGCCATGCCTTCCGCTGGTTCTCTTAGTCATGGCTTTTGGGCATGGGTGATCTTGATACCAGCGCAGCCATTACTCGAGCAAGGCCATCACCGCACGATGGGGCTAGCGTTGCCCTGGTATTCGACGACGGTGTTCGGCTGTGGCAGCCTGCACGCGTTGGCGACTCTGACGACGTGGTTCTGGACCGCATCGTGGACAACTCATTTTCCCCGTGTACCACGCGTCTGTTGCCCGACGAGGGTGGCCTCGCCATGCAGACCGACGGTCGACCCGTAGATGCCGTTTGGTCCGCACACCCGCGTCAACTGCTCATTCTGCAGGAGCGTGCCCTGACGTTTGCAGACTTGCGACAACCACCCCGTCGTCGTCCTGGGGTGGTTCTCGATTGGATGGGTCCGAACGAGCGCTTTGTGGCAACGGCCGGGCAATCAAATGTTGGGCAAAGCGTTTTTGCCGCTGCGAGTACATCCCACCTCTACTTGTTTGACGTGCGCTGGTGTCGAGAGCCCCTGCTTTGTGCTGGTCATGATCATGACTCCAACCTCGCAGTTACTCCCGCTTGGACGGACGACGGAAGCACTTCCGACTTGGACGCATGCATGCTGTCATCTAGCGCTGGGCGCTCCGCCTTTATGTGGGACCAACTGCACGTGGCCGCTAGCTACGGCAATGAGCCTGCACGCTGCCTTCAGTGGCGAGCTGCTGCCGCAAATGTCGCGACCTTGGATACTGCTGCTCCTGACTGTCGACCAGACTTTTATGATGACGTGCTTGGGCAGACCCTGGGCTCTGCTTGTCGACTCATGCGTCCCAAGGGTCGCTACGGATCCGACTGCCTCGAAATGGCCGTGTTTGATCTGTCCGCAACCGGCTTTCTCTTTGCCTCGCGGTTTTTGCATGGCGACAACACGGCTCATCATCAGTACCGCCGATCATCCACCAAGGCGGTGCCCGTGGACGGCGACGACATAGCCCTCGATAGTCCTCAGGCCACCCCAACGCGATCCCGCGAGTCCCGAGCCGCGGAAGCGCCCTGGCCCGTGCGCATGTGGAGGCGGCTGAACAACGAGCTGATTGCTGCCCGGTTGGATGTGCGGCGTGCAGGCATACCCACGGCCGCCGAGCCCGCCGCCCAACAACCAGTGGAAGACTGCACCAAGCTCTTCAAGTTAGTTCTCGCTCCAATCAGCTTGCTACGAAAAGCAACCAAGCGTGGTAGACAGTAACCGGTGATCTGACTTTGCGAGTGTGTTGTTGCGGTGTCTCATAGATACTCAGTTGGAGGTGCCTTTTCACGTGAACGGGAAGTGGTCCGGTTGGAGGCAGCAACCCATGTGCTGCAACAAGGCTATGCGACCAGCAATCAGGGGGCTAATCATGTGCCCAGTTCTGATGCCCCTGTCGTTACGGCTGCTTCAGAGCCCGAGAAGGCCTTCTCTCCGCACCTGCAAAGCCTTGCAACACGCTTGCCACCCGTTGCCACGCCGCGTGATTTAACAAGCTTGGCAGCAATGTCGGATATTGAAGAGCTCCTGGATGCACTGGTGAGTTCTTGACCACTGAGTTGAGTCAGCCCGCGTCTTGCTTCCTTTTACCATTTGCCCTTGGTCTGCTGTCTTCTCACTGGCCCCTCGCTTACCCGTCGGTCCTCTTCGCAGAAGGACAAAGCGCGTGCCACGGCTCTTGGCTTTACGGTGTGGACACAACAGGTACGCCAGGGTGCACGATAATCTGTCATGCGATTGTGGTCATCCAGCCAAGCGCCTTTTTCATGTACGACCTTTTTGTGCGCGTTAGCCTGAACATGTGAGCCGACCCAGTGCTGCTGCCGCAGCCATTGACGAAGTGCAGCTTATCAAAACATCTCGGCTGCCGGCCTTGCTGAGCGTGGGGCGAGAAGCTCGGGTACAGGATTTAGATGCCTTTGCCGTGGTCTCCGAAGATCTTGGCACGGACGAGCTTGGCACGGAGCATGCACCGGCACGCCATCCGGAGCTCTCTGATCGCGCCCGTGCGTTGTTGTCACATTTTATCCTTGATGATGATTCACCCCCTGTCGCCCATCAGGCGCCGGTGATTGCGCCCTCACCAGTGGCAGCGGGCTCGCGACACAGTCGTCGGCACATTGGCCGACGACCTCCGCTGGCTGCATCCTCCTTGGGCTCGGTGGCTCAGACTGCCACTCCTGTCGCCAGCGAGGCCTTGATCGACATGGCACATGGGCTCTCCGGCTCGCAGGAAGTGGTTGTGCAGCCCACCCGAGCTGTGCTTGGCTCACAAAAAAGATCGGTCCGGACGGCAACGCGGCGACGCAAGCGCGCCAAGGTGGGCGGGTTTGGCTAAAACCATGAGAGAGCAGCGATTTTGACTAGGCCTTAGGAGAGAGTAGCTTGATAGATCAATGGTTGATGAGCGAACAGTTGTAATTCATTGTCATAATATTTGGGCTTGACGAGCGAGATGCTATTTTTTTTTGAGCACCAGAAGGTTCTTTGATGCCCTGTGAGACTGGAACGCGGCGAGCAAGGGAAACATTCAGAGGTGTTTTTTTGAATTTGGTGTGTCGTGCCAACCTGATCACGCAAACGTGTTTCTAAATGCACAGAACAAAGATGAGGCAAGGAAAGAAAAGGAATCCAGAATACCAGAACAAAGGCCGGATTAAAAGCAAAAACAAGAAATAGTTTGCTCACACTTGAGATCTACAGCTGCTGAACAAAGGCGTTGTAGTCTACGGGATCTGGCTGTCCAGCCAGGGTTTCAGCAATCTGCCAAAAAAGAAAGAAAAAAAAAAAACGACGGGTCATTGCCACTTGAGCGAAAAGGACAGAGACATCAATGGGGCAAAAGTCTGCCAGGGTTGGCTTTTGGACGGAGACACTGGTCATTTGAACAAACCTCGGCATCTGAGAGACCTTCGCCGATGCTTTTGAGCAGAAAGGAGAGATCAGCTGCATTGGGTGCGGTACAAGCCGGACGAAAAAAAATGATTCAGCGATAAAAACAATCCTCAGAGGTCAAGTTGGCGCGTCATGTATGGGACGTGGCGGCGGCCAGACAGACCTTTGCTGATGGTACCGGTACCCGCCTGATCATAGGCCTTGAAAGCTGCCAGCACGTCGGCCTTGGCGTCTGCGGGCTGGGGCGACTTGGCCAAGATCTCGAGGAAAGAAGGAAAGTCGAAGGTTTGTGTCTCCCCGGCCATAACCTGATTGACATGGTGGCACAAGAACGCCAGCCGCGTGAGGAGATGTGGCGCGAGTGGTGGAGTGCTCAGCTGAAACCTGGCAGACGCTCGACGAGGTTGGGGTGCGCCTGTATACCTCAATCTCGCCAATGGTGGGCGTGACATTGAGCGAGCGAAGAAGCAGAGCAAGGCGGTCGCGAGGCAGGTTGCCCTGGGGCGCATGAAGGTTGAAGCATTCTCGAGCTCGCTCGATCTGTGGGCACAAGCAAAGAAGGTAAGCTTGGCGTGGAGAAGAGCTCAGCCAGCAGAGCCCGCGTCAAACGAGAGGCGCCAGCGTCGGACGTACCTGCTGCTCGTCCAAGCGCTCAACCATCGACATCCTGGCGGCTTTATCTGCTGCACGGTGACGGGTGACCACGACGATGATGATGATGGTGAGCAAGCGCGCTGGCATGTACACACAACGGCAGTATTTGCACCAGGTTTCAGGCAGAATTATCACACACACACACACACACACACGCACACACTCCCACCCCTGCCAGCCACCGTCATCCTCCCTTTCGGCCAGACTCAAAGGCCAGTGGCGGCGGAAGTGGTGCACTGGTAGCATTTGACCGATCAACTGGCGCTGCCATCACTTTCAAACATCTCACCGACCAGAGAGAGGAGAAGAAGAGAGAGAGGAGGGAGAGAGAGGAAACTGTGGTAGAGAAATGATTGAATGCTGGAAAACGGGCAGAGAGTAGCTGCAAAGCTGATAATACGCGTCAAGAGATTTAGAGCATAATTCAAGCTACTGCTCATCAGCGCAGAGGGGATTGTAAAACAAAAGGGGGCGGCATGAAAAAAAAAGGAAACTGACAAAACACGAAAACAGTGATCATAACTCATTTTTATCTGACGTTGTAGCAAGCGAACGGAGTGAGACTTCTATTTTCTTCAGCGAGAGAGAGAGAGAGAGAGAGAGAGAGAGAGAGAGAGAGAGAGAGATTTGATGGCGCGACGCGTGACGGCAGCGGCAGGTACACCACCGGCGGGCGTGGGTGCTGGTTCGGCGGTTAATACAGAGGATCAAGAGCGTTTGCAGCAGCATCGGCAGGCACACGCGTCGGTGGTGGCAGCGCCCATGCGAGAGCGAGCGCATGGCTGGCGTGTAGCGACCCCGCTCATCATCTTTGGCGTTGCCAGCCTCTACCTGAGCTGGTACCTCTATCACATGATTCACCACATGACCACCTACGCCTAGTCCAGTTGCGCGACCGAATCTGGGTCTTTGGATCCGCTGGCGTCTTGTCGTAGCATCTGCGCTTGTTCCTCTTGCTCTGCTCTTCCCTCCACCCCCCCCCCCCCCCCCCAGGCTTTTCCTTGATCGCCTTTTTTTTTTTCTCTGATTTTTGTGCGGCCCCTCGGTCCCGCACGTGTCCCTGCTTTCGCATTGGTGTCCATTTTCTCGCCAAAATGGACTCTCGGCGGCGCCAACGTGACACTGCCAAGGTCTGCTTGTGAAGAAACATACATAAGCTGTTGTGCCCCGACCTTGTGTCTTGTCGTATCGGTCTTACCCCAATGTCCACTGCTTGTTTCCAGTCGCGTGACACGTCCTCCGCTACTCCGAAAGGGCCGCCCATTCAACTGGCCCAAAATGGTATAGCTGCGCATCCAGCCGAGCCCCACGCACATCGATCCAGCGTCTGATGTTTTTTTTTTTTTTTTTTTTTAAATCTCACAA